AAGCGACTTGATAGCCTCAATGGGGAGTGAGCTATCCTTCAACTCCGCCCTAATTCATTCCAAGATCTCCTCTTTGCTCGCTGACTCATCTATTTCACGAATCTCAATTTGAGCCGATTCGGTAAGTGTTTTAACGACCGCTCGGTCACCCAAGGCCTTCCCTACAGCTTCGTGAAGGGCCTCAGCAATATGCTCCGGCTTTCTGTCCAGTTGCAACAAAAGGTCCCCCTTAGCTGTCTTTCTAATGCCTTGAACGTCGCCGCTCAGATGCTTTAGAATTGGTTCGGTCTTGACTACACGAAGCATGTCCGCATAGCTGCAACCACCCACGCCTGAAATCGCGATTGCGTCACTTCTGGGTCGTTTTTGGATGGGCTTGCGTCCTTTAACGACTGTCCAGCTGTTCGGGTTCGTCTGTCGACCTGCCTGATTTGAATTTTCAGCTGTAGCCCGTAGAGCCATTGGTTCTTTTGGGCTCGCTGCGCCTTTATTGGGCCTCGGCTTTTTTGAGGGTGTTTTCCTCTGATCGGGGGCAATCGCAATCGCAATCGCCTGTATATGCGCGCGTGTGTGTGCGTGTTTGTTTGTATGCGTGTGTGTGTGCGTATGTATGTATGTGAGTATGTTTGTGTGTGTGCGAATTATTATTGAAATATCAGTTGCTTGGAGGGTTCAGGGGATCTCGCAGTCGAGCGAAAGAGCTTCCTTACTTGTTTATTGTAGCTTTTGTCTTAAACTCTATAGCGCATTTATAAGTGTAGCTTAGCTAATGAAGTGGCTAAATGCCTTTATTGCTTGAATACAAATGTTACTTTAATTTAAGTCACTTCTGAGATCCAAGGGGTGCAATCTTTTCAGCCTTCTGTTGATCGTATTAGTAACTAAATTGGCTGCAAGCTGGTATGCATGAAAGGATATTCTGTCCGCGTACCTTGTGCTGTGTCGGCCAATGAGCTCGGCAATTATCGACATCTGGAGGTCTGTGTGCAGGGTTTCGTTTCTCACAAACCATTCGCCTCCGGTCCATGTCCTTAAAGCTTTGTTTTACTTTATTAATGAGAGCTCTCGCAGCAGATCCCATAACGGCATTGCATACGTGAAGACAGGTGCGACTATGGAGTTGTATATTTGTCTTTTGCTACGTAGTGACGATGGGCTATCGCTTCTTCAAGTTTTTTAAAATTAAACATACAGTTTTTGACTGTCTCGCTTTTGTGCGGGCCATAGGTCAGTTTCTTGTCCAGTGTGACTACCAAGTACTTAACCTTGTTTGCTCGTGGTATTGCAGCAGAAGCAATATTAGTTTCTATTTACAATGCAAATTTATTATTTCATATAAATCGAAAAAACTTTTCGATTAGAAGAATCTTGATTAATATTTTATCAATAACAACATATCTTAATACACAAGAGGTAGGATATGTAATTACATTTCAAATTGATTTAAGATGTTCTGATATTCAATTAATTTTTGGGTATATTGTGGCTTAAGATGTGAAATGTGTCTGTAACCCCAAGTAAATATTAAGGCTCAAATGATTAATGTAATTGAAATATATTTTTGAATTGTTCAAACACTACGAGTATTTATATTGAATAGGAGTATATTAACTAAGATCCTCCTTGGCAAAACAACCAAAATATAGGTAAATCTGAGACTGCTTTATAGCCTCCCCAATTCAAATTCAAAGTCCCCCTTAGTCTTACATAAATCTATTAATTGCTTGAATGCCCAAGCTATAGCCTTAATTATTAATTGTAGGGCGACACGTAATAGGGCGTAACACTTCCATATTCATTATTTCAGCTGTGTGTATGTGTAGTGCTGCATTTTTAATCAAATTTTTTTCCACGCCCCCTTAATAGGTTTATAAATGCCCAGCTCAAGCAGTTTGCTGGTAATTAGTCAAGATGTACTCGGAACTGGAAGTGAAATTGCTGGAGCAGCGCAACTATCATCGAATTAGGGAGATGATACGCGTCACCTATACAATGGGCTACAACATTATGAAGCCCGGACCTTGGGACAACCTCCTAAAGTTGTATGTCACCAAATCAGCATTCTCATAACCTGAACTGACAGTCCATCTCTCTCAATCTGTCTTTTGTGTGTTCGCAGCTGGAGCTTGCTGCTAATACTGTTCACGCTGCTCTCTTACTACGGCCATTGGCAGCTGTTCGTGCACTACATGCAGGACATTCCGCGCATTTCCGAGGTTGCCTAGAGCTCAGACAGCATAGATGTAGACAACTAATCTTCTTAACGGCGCATCAAATTGTTTTTCATTTTTTCAGTCCATTAGCACAATTTTCCAGTCCCTGATGTCCATTACGAAGATGATTTACTATCTCATGGCGCCTCGCAGATTCTACATGCTGCTTCGACTCGTCTGTCGTCACGAGCTGCTGCAGACGTGCGAGCTGTTTGCAGCTGTCTCTGGTCTGGTTAACCCGACTCTAATCTGATGTGTCTGGTCATGAGCAATGTATCCATCTTTCGCTCTTGCAGATCTGCCTGTGGCACAGCCGTTGAAGCAGCGTGTGGCCGACACCATGGATCAGAGTTGGATCAGCACGCGCCGGCAATTGATGTTCTATCTGTTGTGCTGCATTGGCATCCTGTTGAATTACTTTGTCAATTCGCTGGTCGTCAACATCTATCACGCCCTCACGGAGCCCGACAACAACTACGAAGTGGCGCTGCGTAAGTGCAGTCGAACTGCATATACATACATATGTAAGTCTTATTGTTAGTTAATGGAGTCAGTTTCCTGCACAGCTCTGCCTTCGCTCTACCCGAACTGGATGGACAAGGGCATGACCTTTCCCTACTACCATCTGCCTCTTCTCCTGGAGAGCTGTAACCTCTACATCTGCGGCATGGGTAGGTGCTGTCGCGTGTGAGAAAAACTGAGCTCGAATATTTCTTTGCAACAGGTGCCGTTAGCTTCGACGTGCTCTTCATCGTCTTCTGCATGCATGGCGTGGGTGTAATGCACTCCCTCTCCCATATGATTGAGTACGCCACCTCGCCGCTGATTCCCCAAGAGCGACGAGTCCAATATCTGCGCCATTGCATCTATCAATATCAGCGAGTCGAAGCGTGTGTAAAAAAAAACAACTAAAAGACGCTCTATACTAATACTTACAGTTATCTCTTTCTGATCTCGATTTCTATCTCTTTTTGGTAGTTTTGCACTGGAGGTGAATAACACCTTTCGGCAAATCATTATTATCCAGTTCATTCTAAGCCTCTTCTGCTGGGGTCTGGTGCTTTTCCAAATCAGCATTGGCATAGTGAGTCCACATTGCCATACTCGGTTCCCTCTAAAATATATCCCCTGCTGGCTGGGCAGAGAGTATCATGCAGTCGGTCCTGCCCGACTGGCTGTCAACGTTCCTTGTCTGCTTTTTAATATGTAATCATCGGTTTTCTTTTTTGTTCGAGCTCAGGCCACCAGCCTGACAATAGCGCTGCGCATGCTGATGTATCTGGCGGCCGGTGGCTATCAAATCGTCATCTACTGCTACAATGGGCAGCGCTTCACAACGGCTGTAGGTCCTGCGTCCTTTTTCATTGGATCTCTTTTGATGGGTTAACTGCTTGTGTTTGTACCCTTTTTATCGCAGAGCGAGCGCATTCCAATGGCATTCTACGAGTGTACTTGGTACGAGGAATCCAGGGAATTTCGGCAGCTCATCAGAATGATGATAATGCGCGCGAATCAGAGCTTCAGTCTGGACGTATCCTGGTTCACAAAAATGTCGCTGCCCACCCTGATGTCGGTGAGTGTTCCCTGCTCCCGATGCCAGCCTCCCACTCCGGCTCTTACATGGCTGATTATTGCAGATGATACGCGCCAGCGGGCAATACACGGTGCTATTGCAGAACCTAATGCAGAAGAATTAAGGAAACGGCTCTGAAACTCTTTTCGCCCATGCTAAACACTTGCTGTTGTTACCAACATAGCAACACTCTATCGACAGTCAATCAATATATGTTGTAGCTCGGGGCATGCCATTTGTTTTCATGGGCGGTACGGATAGGCACTGCTCGGCTGATAATTCATTTAGCACATTAAAGTAATGAAATTGCTGGCTGATAACAAGTCGGGCAAACGCTGCCACAGACTGGCTCCACTGATAACACGCCCCATCCACCGCGCACCATCCTTTGCCCACTGTCACAGTCCGACACTTTGCCAATCAATTTTATTTGTTTATTCAGCCGGGACAGCAGCCGCCGAGGCGGCACATGAAGACGTTCTAGACTACTCGGGTGGGACTAACACTTTATGCTTTAAGCTGGCGCTTTCACTGTGCCCGATAATTGCTGCAGTGCCTCCATTGCTTGGGCAAGGAGGGAAGGGCGCTTTTGGGGTCTGGGCTGGCTTTAGCCTCCCCGAGAGTTTTCTTGTAATATTTTTAATGCATATTTGCTGTTAGTTGGCGCAGTTTTCTTTGCTTTTGTGCGGCTGCTGTTTTCTCCCTCTACGTTCCACTCTAATGCTTTTCTTATTTTTTGCTGTCCTCTCTTTTTGTCTCAATCTTTTTTGTTCTCGCGGAGAACATCTTTTCCGAGCCTGTCAGATTATTGAGGCGAATGAATATTTTACAGCCTTTTGTAACTGTGTCCTTGCTCAACTGTATCAATGCGTGTGTCTGTGTGTGTTTGTGTGTGTGAGTGTTGGTGTGTTACTTACACTCTCGCAGTCAGATTTGAGGATTTATTATTATGATTATGTTTTCTGCATTTTTGCGCTGCACAACAATAGCCACGCCTTGTATTATTCATCCGTTTGCTGTCGCTTTTATTGCCAGCGAAAGAGTGAAAGAATTGCATATCAAGAAAATTATACATGTGAACACATATATTTTGGGAGCTAAAGCCACGCCAACTACAAAAAGCAATTCAAAAGACATGTGTCGAACGCTTTAAAGCTTACATGCTTCAAGTCTTTTAAAATATGGGATAGCATTTCATATTTGAACTGATTCCAATAAGACCTTATAAGGCTGCCCATATCCGACGGATCCATATTTATTTATTTATTTATTTTTTATCAAAGAAAAAAGGAGATTTGTTGACATCAATCTTTGAATATTAAATGACAGCATTGATCATACGGCGTATAATGCCAGTCTCTGTCAAAAGACTGACTAATTACATACACATGTATATACTCTTATATTATATATGAGAGTAGAGCGTAATTGTTCATTGAATATAAATTTAAATCAATGTAGGAAAAGAAAACAGTAAAATTGAAGCCAGATTCTGCATCGTCTAATTTTCTAAATATTGTATAAATGAGGCGGACAGCTGACAATTTTTAATTTTAATTGAGAAACATCCGTGTGATAGGCTCAGTACCTTTGGCGCGTTATATACATTGTTTTTTTGTTTGCATATTCATGGGCAAAGAATATACATATGGACAAGTGCTCTGAGAGCTCAGACCCACTCATCAGATAATGATATGTATTAAATTAAAAATAATGTAAATAATTCAGCAACTTTCATTACACAAACATCAGCCCGCATCATTTGTTATTTGCGGCTTTAACACTTCAACGAGCACAACGAATGCAGCAGCATAATGGGATAATGGACAGATCGGGAGTGGAAACGGCTTAATTTGCAGCATTGATGGGGGCAGCCGCAAACAATGCGCATTCAATCGAATAAAATAACATAGGTGAATGATTGGTCTGTGGCTATTGAAGTACTTCAGGCTTAATTACAAGCAAATTTGATTTGCATTTTCACATGTTGCTACAGACTTGAGTTCGTATGTACATATATGTGTAGTTAGCTCTGCCTCGCGTGTGTGGCCCCAGTCATTCTCTTGTGTATCGCTCACGTTCCGGAAATGGCAAACATATTGTGTGTACTTGTGTTTAGCCCATTTCGAAGGCTCGCCCAACGGAATTCCAAGTAGCCCAGAGTTAAACTTTTATTAACAAAATTTGCTTATGTTGTCTGCGTTGCGTATGTATGCGTGAGTGTGTGTGTGTGTGTGTGTGTGTGTGTGTGTGTGTGTGTGTGTGTGT